TTGTTGTGACGGTAGTGCTGCCCAGTGATACGTCCATGTCGGCGCGCAATGGCACCATGTGAGGCTCCGGGTTGTTGTGACAGTAGTGCTGCCCAGTGATACGTCCATGTCGGCGCGCAATGGCACCATGTGAGGCTCCGGGTTGTTGTGACGGTAGTGCTGCCCAGTGATACGTCCATGTCGGCACCATGTGAGGTTCCGGGTTGTTGTGACGGTAGTGCTGCCCAGTGATACGTCCATGTCGGCGCGCAATGGCACCATGTGAGGCTCCGGGTTGTTGTGACAGTAGTGCTGCCCAGTGATACGTCCATGTCGGCGCGCAATGGCACCATGTGAGGCTCCGGGTTGTTGTGACGGTAGTGCTGCCCAGTGATACGTCCATGTCGGCACCATGTGAGGCTCCGGGTTGTTGTGACGGTAGTGCTGCCCAGTGATACATCCATGTAGAGGTATTCTGCCTGATCAAACTCCACAAGAGTACTGAACCACCTCAAAACGCTCGTTCTGTCTGACGTTAATGGCATGAAAACGCTTATTCCGTCTACGCCACATTCTATTGCGCCTGTCAAAGAAGTACAAATTAAACCTCGATTGATCCGAAAACATAACGTCTGGATTGGCACTGCTGCTATTGACTTCAACACCTTGCATTGATGTGACATTCCGTCAGCCATGTGATAACACGTGGACGCCGGGCATGCAGCTTCAAATGTGCGTAGCCGACTACGAATCATCTACCCACTTACTCTGACACCTGTAGCTCTGCGAAGCTGATCTCCAATTTGAGATGAACCTTGCCCCCGGATTCGTAACACAGTCGATCTGATCTGGTCCTGTACGCCAGTTGTTGCTCTTGGTCGATCAGGTGGACATCTGTCATTAGGGGTATTTGTCTGTCGACATCATGACTATAATCTGCTTATTACTGACAGAGAAACGTTAAGGGCTCGTGCCACAATATTTCAAGACTACGTATCCAATCGGTGATATTATGCATACGTGAAATTCACACATGCAAGCAGGTACAATTGTTTTGGTGGAAAACCATTTTGAAGAGATGTACATTGCTATTGCAAGTCAGTTGCATTACTGTTTTTCAGGTACACCATATCTTATGTATAAATTACATGTTCATCTTCCACAATATTAAGTTATTTTCCAAAGTAGTTATCAATATTTACCAAAGTTTCTCACCTTCCAAAATGACCCAAATGAACAGCAGAATACATGAGTTTGTTCGCCAATCTCCACTGGTACCTGTAGACGTCATGGCAGGGACACGTCTTACCGTATGGTTGTCCACATACATACCATACACTCGGACTGTTCAACACCACATCAGGATTGTTTTAGTCAGTTTAAAGGTCCGTCTATGGTGTATACACCCATCTTAATCTGTTAAGTTTCAGATGTCAGATGTCAAAACCTTACACAATTGACCGCCGCACAATGCAAATACGAGTCCCCCAATATATTAATTTTTCTTACCGGAGGTATGGTTCATCTAGTATCGTAATCACCACAGGGTCGTGATTATAAACTTTAAGAGATAACAATCGCAGAATCATCTGCTACTGTTAGGCGATGATATTTGAATGTTGTGGTTCTTGTTGGGAAGCTTAGGGGTGTGACATCGACGGACACAGGGATAACAAGGACTTCCGGCAAATATATCAATCACTTTAAGTTCCCCATGTCAGTACGAAAGCCAACACTGAGGAGAAAGATCGAAAGGATGTTTCAAATAATGATGTTGGCAATAGCTAATTACTAAACATCGAGATGAGAATATGCATAACATGTGTGGCAATACTTCATAAACCGAACTTGACTTTCCAAATCAGAGACATCAGCGGGCGTGAATAGTGGAGCACCGCCCAACTGAAGCCTGGAAGACGATAGGACCTGGTGACTCGCTACTATATTTAACATTATGTTATTGTCATAGTTGTAAGTTCTCGGATATAACATGGACACTCGCCCAGGGCCACTTGCACGTTTTTATATAAATTCTCTCCTGGAGGAAATTATCTTTTTACTCATGAAAGCTTTTCTGACAAATGAAAGCAACAGACATCATTTCGTATTTATAAGACATCTCTGAAAAAAGCAGATTCCTAAAGCAGTTTGCACAATTGCAACTGTATTGTGAACTTGTGAGTAGGAATTACACTGGCAGGTTAATGGACCAGTAGTTGGCGGATATGTAAGCCTGCCCAATCATTGGTATCCACCACAATCATACACACAAGCAAGTCAGTTGTTCATCTCATAACAAACAACAACACATGGGAACGTATACGTATAGTCAGAATTCCATCACTTTCACACTGAAGCGTCATATTTTGAAATGTCCTTCAAATGATCACCATGTTTCACGTTTGTTTATCAAGCAATCCTTTCAGTTTTTTAAAGCCATCATGGCATTAATTCAGGTTGCCTGAAATACTTATAGAAACAAACCCTTCCTTGATTGGTATAAATATCAAGGTTAAACTTTGGACCCAGAAATATCTCCATTGTACGGATGTCACTACACACCGCTGTGAGTAGTTCTTTCTTGGAGATGATCTATTTGCTTACAGGGCGGTCGGAGGGCGGAGGGGTAGCCTAGTGGTTAAAGCGTTCGCTCGCCACGCCGAAGGTCCGGGTTGGATTCCCCACATGGGTACAATATGTGAATCCCATTTCTGGCGTACCCCGCCTTGATATTGCTGGAATATTGCTAAAAGCGGCGTAAAACCACACTCACTCACATAGGGATCAGGTAGTCTTGTGACCAAAGCAATCGTCCACGCAATAACCTACAATTTATATATGTCATGGTGAGAAGTTGTGTTGTATCGTTAAGCGTTATAACCGACACTGGTAGCTTAACTAAGAAAGTTCCTCTCAGGCAATGTTTCTACAGACGGCTTGTTGATACTGTGATGATCTCATGTATATGACAACCGACCTGAGACCTTGAAAGTTAGCAAAAGCTATGATGTAAAGTTGAAGTTTTATTGAGTGTGTGTGTTTATTTTCGTGGATATTTTTTATCCATGTATACATGGTTGTCGAAGTGTAGAAAGCAAGGGCTACTGGTTATATTTAGTGCATTGATTAATGAGGAAGATCTGTAAAAGCAAACTTTTCATCTTTACAAGATGAAGATAGAACCGGATGCAATTAGCTTTGTTCCACAGCCCTGCATGAATATTTTACTCGAAATATATTGTACATACAGAAATGGTTATTAAGCCTGATCTCTCTTTGAAGTTTAAGAACCTTTGTCCTCAAGGTATTAACTGATGACATTACATTGCTCTGCATGCGTCACAGTTAGACCATTAGTTTCCTTCGATTTCCTTTAACAGCTTGAGAATTTCAGTGTAAAAATCATTCATGGTTGTTGTCATGCTGGAAACAGTAAACATGAAAATACAGTCGGTGAGATAGTGATATACATGCCGCCATGACTTAAGTCTCTGTGGGGATTTGGGTTAGAACAGGTCACCGGCAACCTAGGACGGCCGTGCTACGCTCACTAACATAGTTAATTGCGTGCCATCGTGACCAGACGACGTGGATGAATGCTCACAACATCGACCACTGGTCCAGTCTAAATGGATTAGTTCGGAGTGCGGCATGAAACACGGAAATGTACACAGAAACAATGAATGAATTCGTTTGTTTGTTTGTTATTTAACGCCTCATATGATGATGATCTGTAGATAAAAGAGTCAAAAACTGACAACGAAGTAATTGATATTATGAACATCGATCTTCGCAGTTGGGATACGATGACATGCGTCTAACATGTCAGCGACCCGAGCACTCGACCCCTTTAGTTGCTTCGATAATCTGTAAATGATGGGATGGACATTTCTTTTCTTATTTTTGTTCATGTGATTAAAATAATTATATCTTCGATACTTCATATTTTTCTCGCAAAACCTAGAAAACATTGCACTTTGTGTGACTAAAACTGTTACAGTACAGCACAACCAAGCAACGACGAACTACAGAGCTGATCAAGAATGTCTGGTACGGTCCGGTGTCTTTTACGATTACTCCCGATTTATGATGTTCTCGAATCGTTATCGTCATATTCAACAGTATTCGGTATCAAGAGAAATGAACGACAAACGTGTCGATACAACTAAATGCTCCTAAAACGAAATGCAGGGATGGTTAATGTTGATACAAATCGGCAATGAAGCAACTTTAATGCATTAAGCGATGTGAACCTCAAACATCTGCATGACACAACCACCTACATGGCTTGGTTTGAATGAGGAGAGTGTTAGAGCATGTTCGTAAAAGGGATGGCGTTAAGCCATAATGTGTATGGTGATTTTCCTATCTGAGCCATCCCTTTTCGTCCCGACCATTACTATTCCTAATCAAGCTCTGGTCACTTTAAATGCACGATAAACTCTCACGTTAACCACCCTCACCCAAAACCCCACCCCCACACGCGCGCGCGCACGCACGCACGCACGCACACACACACACACACACACACACACACACACACGCACGCACGCACGCACGCACGCACACACACACACACTCCTCCCTCGTAACAAATAGTGAACTGTGTCAAAATTTTAATGATAGGTTTGTTTAACAACTTATGTATTTTTAGGACATTAATTCTGCAAAAACCTCATAGAGTTGGTCTGATGTTGTAATTATGATGAGTGTTTCCTTTAGTATTATATGTATATTAGTTTTTCATCGGTCCAATTTTGAGCCAAACGGACTATAACAAGAATAACAAACTTGATTCTTGTAATGATATACATATACCTCAACCGTTCGCTGAAACAAAAGGGAATAGTGTAGCTATCGACGACTTGTGCCATCGTATATAGGCTTGGTAATGCCTGTCCCTACTGGAAGATCATTGGAGCACGCACGTCGCGTATAACTGGATTACCTCGACATATCGATCAGCAAGTATTGTTGACAGATCCACGTGCCCCATCCTTATAAAGTGGAACTGACTCCGTGGTCGTCCACGAGTCGGTGGCCTTGTCGACCAAGAGAACACTTTGATACCAGACGCTTGACGCTACTATAATGAGACTGGTATCATCTCTTCAACCTGGGCTTGTCCTTGCTCTTGGTCTATACCTTGTGCTGGCAGAAAAAGAAGAGGTAAGTTTGATTGCCTTTTAGTATCAAGTTTTCTTTAGTAGGTAAAATGCTATTTGCGTGTGTTGATGTTGCGGCACTTGTTTGAGTATCTGAAAATTGTCAAAAAGTTTTGTGCAATATTATATCATCTAATTTTAACAAATAGAATAAGAATTATTTGGTAAATCAGAAGTCTATGCCATGGTAAATGTTACAGTGAAAAAATATGAACAGGAAAAAACGGTGTGATGTATTTTGTTGTAATATATATGTCCTAGAGGTAGTTTTCATGAGGGTACTTCGGCTGTCATTCAGTAGCTACTACAAATATAATGACACTGTTTGAACGAGATTTTTTTTCCTTTCCTTCTGTCGTGATCAATTAGAAATGTAATACCAGTATACAATGAAAACACCGTCGTCCTTTAAAATTAAACAAACTGTTTTGACAGAATGGATTTGTGTAATTAGAAACATATTTATTTCGAATCTTCTTGGCCTGTTTTCATTGCACCTAAACCACGGCGCGCATAATTTCACCTGACATGTGACAAGTTTATTTAAATTTGCCGTTCTTAAAAGGGATATAAAACTTGGACAGTCCTGAAAAGGAAAGGTTGTTTGAGAACCGCTTTTAGATATCTCCACTGAAGTTATGACCACATTTGCGGACGACATTACAAGCTTCATCGTGAAAGCTAAACATAGGAAGAGTGACATAACTGTAACGATGTGTCACATATCTAGTACATGTGCCACCTGGCCCTTAATTGCCAGGGAAGCATTGACACCACATGGGTGTTTAAACCCTAAGAAAGAAATAAGAAAACGGTACTTTGGGTATGAAGCAAACAATGACTATCGCAGGGTTGTTTCCCGCCTTTGTTCCGCAACATAAATTCAGCAATTTCATTCTACAAACATAGAGCAATAGGTTATCTAAGTACATAAAAGTTATGTAAATTTAACCATTGATAATCCTGTTGCACTCCATGTTATCATAAGTCTTGTGCTTTAAGTAGTTGATAATTCCCTGAAAAATCTGCAGCATTATATTCCCGTAGAGAATGCATTAAGTGTGAATGGCGGGTGATTTTGCCTGACAGTCTATTAATAGTATGAGCTGCACGCCCATTGATAAATGCTAAAGCAGCCTCAGTGCACTCGGGAGATCAAATATTATCATATCAGCAGGCTACATTGAGCTTCATCTTCTATCCTTAAAGCCAACTCATGTACAGAAAGTCCCACACATCATTAAACTTTCTTTCTCTGTATTTCAAACCAATAAACATAGGTGCCAAGTGTAACACGACAGTATACCGTAGCACTTGTTTCACAGCAGCAGACTATACAAGACAGAATTCAATGTTTTCACGTGTATATGTACAAATTAAATCATTTAAGAACTACGACATGTACAAACGTGTACATGAACAATATTATCAATGAGCGTTATTATCTTCTGAGAACCTGAGAAATCCACTTTTCTGACATTTGTGAAAGTCTGTTCAGTGTATGTTCTGGAAGTGTGCGTTAGGTTACTCGAACCAACACATTTGTGCGTTTTCACAACCTCAGTTCATGTATTTTAAGGACATACGAGCATTTTGTCTCTGATGTGTTCTAAAGCTCATAACATACCGTTCCATAACTTAATCAATTCATTTATTATCTTCCCGCAAGATCGTCTTCATACAAATAATAACCCGGACAGACAGACAGCATGACAGACAGGAAGGCAGAGATATATTTACGTCTCATCGCTGTACATCGTAAAAAGAATATATATACAGACAAGACTTGAAACTGTAAGAATATGGTACAGCGCCACTCGCATTAAGTTATGAGAGACGGTAAAATCATATACAAGTAGGCATCTATACATATATAAAAGCGATTGTTTATCAATATAAAATATGTTTTCTACGTTGTAGTATTGAGAAGCAGGTTTTGGCCGTAAAATAAACCTTTCGTGGTTTGACAAAGTTTAACAGTTGGACACTTCAGCTGAAACATTTGTAAAAGAGCTATTCTAAAGTTGTCATATAAGAGACAAATTAATGGAACATGCTCCTCATCTTCAATAACTCCATTACAGGTAAAGCAAACTCAATCCTCAACATTTCAATTTGTATGTCTGCCCGTTTCAATTCTTAAAGGCGCAATACCACATACATATTTTGCAAAAGCCGAACGGTAATTCCGGGGCATAAAAGTGCTAACATAACTTTCACAACAATAAAACATCGTTAAAAGATCTGTAGGTACGAGGCTTACTTCTACTATTCATATCATTATCTTCCCATAAACGTTCTTGCCAATGTTTATCATAGTTGTTGCCCCATGATGTAATCATTAGCATATTTCAGTGTACGCATAGTTATATGCCGAATCTACAAAACTGCAAAGTACTATGGTGCTTCCTATACTTCTAAAGGACATTAATGTACCCAAGCAATGGTTTCTGCATGATGCATTTTACCCTGGCCGATACAAAGCGAGTCCTCATCAAATAACATCCTACTTTAACATAAGGCATAATTATAATTGGTTACTTTGAAGAAGAATTTCTATGTGAGTGGACTTCCATAAAAAAAGTTGTCTTTATGAGGTTCGAAGAAAGTATAGGTCGAATAAAAGAACAGAAGCCTCTGTAATTTAGAACTGATTCTATAATTTTCGTGCGCAATTTCAATGGCATTCAGAAAATGGAAATTCCGTTGGAGCTAAGAAATGTTCTGTGGTAAGAAGCAACAATAACTGTGTCTCATCAACCTTTCATGTCATGATGCAGAGGAAAATATGTTTTAAAAAAATCAACAACTGCTAATTATGAGGTTGAAACGTAGCCTCTGGTTTGCATGTAGAAGTTTAAAGAACACGACGACATGAAACGCCTATGAAAATAAAGTTCCTGTCCTAGTTAACGACGTTTCAATGCTACATCTGGACCATTCTTCAGTAGAATACAGAGTAAGCTTAGTAAATTTATATATGCCCGCTGATGTGATTACCAAGGTAGCATGTATGGACAAAAGTCTCACTACAACGAAGGTAAAGGGAGCAGAAGAAGAGAAGGCGCCTAATACGGTGACGGTTAAAAACAAAACAATGAAGTCCTCCATTGCTGTTACGGATTGAATGTAGAATAGAAGAGCCCACGCCGGGTAGTTAGATGCCATGCTCTCTGCTGGCATCATACATTATTTGAATTTCCATAGTTTATTGGTGTTTCATCTTTTCCCAGTGTCACTGTTTCTGTTAATAGCTGGCCTCATATATTATTTGAATTCCGATAGTGTCTTGATGTTTTCCCTGTTTACAGTGGTTGACGTTGGTGTGGAAAAAGATGTCATATTGTCAGAACATGATGTGGTTAGGATTGTTGGTGTTCGTAAAGTACGGATTTCATGTCAGATTTAGCAAAATATATTTAGAGTTGTTGTATTCGGGTGCCTATTGGACGTGAAGTCCCGTTATGTACGAACCATATTGGTAAACCAGCATTGAACCGAGGTTCGAATGATAGGGCAGAAAGACCATGGCCTCATTTAAATTTGATTTGGAAGAAATAATTTGCATATTAAAAAACACAGGACTAAATATATGTGTCTATGACATTCACTGCATCTTAGTCATGAGTTAGGGGTGTAATAAGGGATTTGCATTGATCGTTAATAGGTGACAATAGATTTTGTTAGGTGATTGGCCAAGTGTACATAACGTCATTTACCTTGAAAAGTCAAAGTCATTAGTATCGCGCGAGTGCGTCAGGACAATCAAGGATTACACGAGGCATCCTCCTAATCAAACTTCCAATGTCAGCTTGGTTCATTCCATCTCGAACATTCAGCCATCCCGCAGTGCACCGCCAATTCCGCTGAGAGTGTTCGGTGGTTCTTGACGGTGATGTCGTCCAAGGATATCCTGGACATCAATGGTTGACAAGAATGGACTGAGTGGTGGTCATGGTAATGTAGTTACGTTCTCCTGTTGGAGGTACTCTGTAGCAATACCAGCCTGGTGTGTCCTTGCTTTGTTATCCTGAAACACAAAACGACGTCCATGTCGGCGCGCAAATGGCACCATGGTGGCACCTGGCTTCAAGATGGTGTCACGGCAGTGCTGCCGTGTGACACGTGTGTGAATGACATGTAGCGCTGTTCTGCCAGCCATGGCGACCCTAGTCTAGCATACAGACCCTGAAGCAAATATATGCAAGAAAGCCCACGCAAGTTTTGAAAATGTGGCAAGTCTAGATTTCCAGTCTCAGGCTCCTTTTCATTATGTTGCATTTTTTTACTATGAACTTTTTTTCTGTAAAATAGGTTCATTTCAGAGACTAGTTGATAGTCTACAGTGACCCCATGTCACAATGTTACTGACCCATCCTCCAAACGTTCGTTCCGTCCATGCCACAACACTGCAGCCCGTGATGTCAACGACGACGCGCTTTAATTCAATCGCTGGATAACATGTGGACGTCGGGAAGGCAGATTCCATCTGTGTAGTATATATCGAATCGTCTGTCCAGTTACTATAACGTCTGTAACTGTGTGAATCCCATCTCCATTTTGAGAGGCACTTTGCTGATGGTTTTGAAACACAGTCGTTCTGATGAATCTGTCCAGTTGTCGCCCTTGGTCAACCAGATGGACCTCCGTCATCAACGTGATATGCCTGTCGATATCGTGATTGTACAGTACTAATTACCGACTGTGAACGATTGTGTTTATAACAATATCAGAACAGCTGGCAGTCTGGTTTTATCATTGCAATGTACAGTAACACACTGACACGTTTAACTGCAAACTTCGAATTTTACCTCGACAATGTTCACATCCACCTCCTGATAAAAACAACAACGCTTGCACGACATTGGTGTGTTTGCATGCAATTCATTACACCCTGTAAATGGATGATGATCATTTTCTGATTCCATACACTAGCATGCAAATTGGTTCTCCAATAATATCCCCACAACATGGATTATCCCCTACCGTTTAAACAACTTGGTT